TTATTAGCCGAGCGGTTAGTATTATAGGGATACGAGCCCCTTCTACGACCCCTATCGCGGCCTCCTCTATATAGCCGTCGGCTACGACCTCTTCTACGGTCGTTACTACTCCTATTATTAGCATTGTTATTATAGTAGGAACCTTAGTTTCCTCTGCGGCTACGGTTACTATAGTTAGTACTAGCTAGTCGGATCCTCGATTCTAGTCGTTATTAGAGCTAGATAGCTCGTTTGGCTGTTTCTACTTTAACTATAAATTAAATGCGTATTAGGTTAGCTTGTTCGAATATACGGCGACGGTCTAATTCGAGAATAAGCTCCTACCTAAGCTTAGGGCGTATTTCCGAGATCTATATAGAATTAGTCTTAGCCGGAAGGTTATCCTCGAGGGTCTTTAAATAGGCCTCGAATAAGCGAGCCGATTGATTAGTCTTCTATTTAGCTCGAAGATATAGGTCCTAAGTAAATTGTTGCCTTAGTATAGGGTTTCTAAGGGTGTCTAGTATAATAGTTTTGTAGGTTTGCTACTAAATAGCGGTCTAATTATCGAGGGAATTAAAATAGTTATCCTAGGTACGTTTTAGGTCGCTATCGATATACTATATCGCATAGACGACTAGTAAATAGTCGTCTAGAAGGGCCCTCGGTATATTTCGCTAGTTAAGCTTACAATCGCGTATATAATTATTGTACTGCTTGCGACTAGAGCCGTTAAACACGGTATAGTCCTTAAGTTTAGCATCCTTCTTTTAGACTAATAGTAAGGAAGGCCCTACTATTAGTTTAGTAGTAGTAGGGTCTTCCTAAAGGCGGCGAAGCTCGAGGAGGTTATCCTTTAGCTACTATTCCTAACGCAAAGCAGCGAGCCTGTTTTAGGTAGCTTCTTAAAGTCTCGCTACTAGCTAGGGGCTAAAGGCTAGCTAGCTATATCGTCGATTGACAATGTTGTTAAGTATATCGTTAATAGGCAACTCTAGGTCGTTACTTAGAATTACAGGTTCTTCGGCAGGCCTAGTAGTAGGCTCTTTAGTAGGAGGCACTTTAGTAGGTGCTTTAGTAGGCACTTTAGTAGGTACTGTACTACTAGCGTTCTCGTTGCTAGCGCTACTAGCGGTAGCACGGTTATTGTTGCTTCGTAATAAGCCGGCTATTATAATAGGGGGTAATACTAATAATATATTATAGGCCCCTAAGATGCGGATATAGCGGAATTAGTAGATATCGGTCTAGTATGCTTAACTTAGTATAATAGGCCGTATAGAAGGCCTTACTTAATAATTAGTACGGTTGTTTCGATAGAATAGTACGTATAGGTCCCGTTCTTCGGGCGTAATATAGTTAGATTAACGATTTTCGTAGCTATACCGCTAAAAGCTTAAAATAAGAACTATCTAGCTACTACCCTTAAAGGGTAGATCGAATACTATATAAGAAGGGTATATTAGCAGGTAGATAGGGTAGTAGTAGGTACGAGTAGTATTCGATAAGGAGCTAGGAGGAGAAGGAGGAAGGCAGGCTAGTTAGCCTACTGCTAAGCGCTAAGCCCTACCTAAGGCATCGAGACCCTAGCTTTACTCGAGCCCGGTTACATACTAATTACGTATACCCTCTTTAGTCCTAACAATATCGATAACCGAAATAAATTTAGCGCCGGCTACGGTATATATTACGTTAGTCTATAAGGGAATTAGGTAAGCATCTATCGTACTAACTTTGTTTAGCCCGCGGATATCGACTACTATACGGCCCTTGCTCTAGCTATCGATATTCCTCTATACGACAAATACGGGAAACCTAAAAGGCGTAGGTTCCTTAGTCTATTCTATACGCCCCTATTTATATAGTTTCTTATAGACCTAGTCGATAAATTCTCGGTCCCTTAGTCCTAACTAGTAGACATATATACTAGTCTTATATCCGCCGTATTCTAATTATTTACTAGCGGTATAGGTATCTATTCCTCTTCGGGGATATCTACGACTTTCCTATTATCTTAGAATAGCCGCGGGTATTCCTCTAGGACAGCGGCGAGCCTCTTTCGCGTATCTACGTCGCTAAAGATTTTGCTATTATATAGTCCGGTTCTATAAGGCTCTTATAGAGAAACCTTAACGCTATAATCTTCTTACGTATAGAATATATACGTTAAAGGTTCCCGATAGATCGCCTCTATCTACTATATTATCGGCGTAGTCCTAACCGTCTCGATCTAATAGAACGATACTAGCTAACCTAACTCTATACTATCTAGGACCTCGAAGGGATAGGCTAACTTATTATAAGTAAGAATTCCCCGCGTACTTAGTCCTATACGAGTAGCTAGGTAGCCTTCTCGCTTTAGCTCGAATATATACTCGCCCTTAATACTAGGAGGTCGAATAGGGATAGTAGTAATCTTTCCTAGGCTAAGTACCGTTCTACCCTATACCTTTACCGTAAACTCCTTCGCGGAAGCCTTTACGTCGTCGGGATCTACGCTTATCGGCGTACTTATATCGACTTCTAACTCTAGTTTTATTTCCCCGAAATCTAGCTTCTAGCTTCTTTATAATATTACGTTAGTTCCTACTAGTATCGCGGGTACTAGCCTAGGCAGCTCGTATACCTAAACCGATACGCGTATTCTACGCTTGTCCTACTCGGTAACTAGAAGGAAAAGGGTAAGTAGTACCTTATAAGTTGCTTTTAGTACTACTCCCCCGACTCCTCGTATATATAGGGAAGAGGCTCTTATTTGTCCTATATAGGCCTATCGTATAATATACTCTAGGCTAACAACGCTTACTAGATTTCCGCTATCGATATATATAGGTTCTAGTCGTCCCTACTACGCTAGTAATACTATTATAGTAGCGTAGCGGGTTCTCTTCTTATCCCGCTATAGTAGGGGTCGTTCTAATTGCTTTCGGGATCTAGTAGCCTCTAGTTTTTTAACTTCCTACTATGCCTAGTAATCCGTATATAGTCGTAAAGGCGGTTATTAGAAGCGAAAGTAGAATAATAAAAGTAGCATTCGTATACCGGCGCCTATAGCGGTTCGGGCTCCTATAGGGTCGTATCGAGATAGTACGAGTCTAGTTTATACTTATATACTAGTGCTTCTTCCTACTCGGTAGGTTCCTCCTATATCCCGTAGCTATTCTCGGGGGTCTTATCGGGATCCGCCTCGTCCTTGCTAGCAATATTATCTCCTTCTAGGTAATAAGTACGTGCCGCGAATAGCCTTATTTATAGCGGGCCTATATTGCCTAGCTTGTTTAAGGGCCCTACGGCGTAGCGACGGTTCTAGCTTATACTTATTAATCTGCCCTATAATTAACCGTCGGTAATAGCTAACTATAGGCGTAACAGAGGAAGGGCTACGTTATGTCGCGAAGGCGGTTAAGAGTACTATAGGTAATTAGTACGGGCCGCCGCGTACTACTAAGGTCCCGATTCTAAATACGCTCTTATATTCGAGAAACGGTTATTCTAGAAGTTGTAGTTACCTAACCCTTAAGTAGGGGGTAAGGTAGAGGTTAGTCTACGGTTCGATAACGTACGTAGGTATATTACCGAAATCTAGGCCTAGATCTCCCGCTTTGCCTCTATACTCGTTATAAACTCTAGTACCGTTAAGGTTACTATAGGCTCTTTAAGGTACTATCGTAGTAATACCTTAATTCCCGTATATACGTACGTTAGCTATTAGATCGGGCTATCTAATCTAGAGTCGCGTATATATCGGACTACGTCGTAGATATACTATATAGTAGGACGACGATCTCGCGCGTCCTATAGAGTATACTTATAACGCTATAAGTTTCCTAGCGCCTCCTATAGCAGCTACTTAAATTAGGTACGTAGCTTTATATACTAGGTCTCGATATCTACTATATATAGGCTAGCCTTCTCGATATCTAAGAGTCCCGTTATATACTATAACTAGGCCTTACCTTACAATAAGGATAGGATACGATCTTTTACGAGCGCGGCTCCGCGATAGGCGACTACGTCTCTAAGTCTATCGATAAATATATAAATATCGCGGAAGATCGTATCGTTTCCTAGGGTAATAATATATCCCTATTACGTATCCTTATAGTCTAGGTAGAAGAATCCTACCTTAGCGTCTCTCTAATTCGGAGGCCTCTCTATATTCGGGTACCGCTCCTATAGGTTCTACGCTACTATAACTTAATTAACCGCTTAGGTAACGATCTAAGCGATCGCGGCTATTTACTAGTCGGAGAAACCTATACCGTTAACTATCGTACTTAGAGGTACCTCTCTCGGGATTTCTTCTATAGCTTCTATTATTCTAGTTCCTAGGCGTACTATCTATATAGACGTAGAGGACGCGGAAGTAGATATAGTAAGTTGTAATAATATAGAAAGGGAGTTACGCGTTAGGTTCCTTCTTAGGAATAGACCTAGGGCAAGGGCGCTCTTTCTCTATAGGGATCCGAATAGCGTAGTAGTTTCCTAAATCTTAGAATCGAGTAAGGCTTATACCTGCTATTACGCCTACTTTTTAAGAGTAGTACTATCGGTCTACTCTAGGTCGGGGATAAGCGTCGCTAGCGGTAGATAGCGAAAGAGGAATTCCTAAAGTCGAATTTATAGCACTACGTTTAGTATACTTCGTATATTATTCTATATAAAGAGAGCGAATCGCTATACTAAGAGTACCTCCTATAGAGTTAGAGGTTCTAGTATACGACGGCTAAGATTCGCTTTAGGAGGTAGAGAGGGTTAAGGTTACGCCTAAGGTTTCAAATTTAGACTAGTATAGTATATAGACTATTAGCGCCGTAAGGGCTAGTAGAGGGCACTTAAATCGTAAGTAGTGCTACTATTTATTATAGTATAGATAGATGATTGTCTTATTAAGTTCTAAGGAAGGCTAAATATACAGTAACTAGGGGACCCTTCTTCCTTCCCTATTCTTCCTTAATGCCTTCCTTAACAACCCCCCCCCCCCCCCCCCCCTCTCTTTCTCCTCTTTCTTTTTTCTCTCCCTACCAAAACCACAACCACCTCAACGCCCCCGCATGCTCATCAATCTCCTCAACAAACCTCATAATCTCGCCCGCTTTCAAAAACCTTTCATGTCCCCCATCTAAAATTCCTTCCAACCTTGTAGACAAATTCCGGGAAAGGGCATCACAGAATTTCTCCGTGCCGTTGAGATGCCAATAATCGTTTGCGAAATTCAAACCAAAAATTGGAACGGCTTTGGTGGTTAAAGTATGCTTGGGGCCGGATTTCGTTGATGTGGGGAGTCTGGTTATGGGGCGATGGAAAGATAGTTGCTTTGTGAGGGGGTCGTGAGTGGGCTGATATGGAAGGTATGGGAAGGATTGTTGGTTGGTGGTGGTTGTGTGTGATGGAGCTCCGATGGGGAGCTGAGGAGGAGGGTTTCGTGGGGCGCTTGTAGGCGCATGGCGAGAATAAAGTCTGCGTGTCTTCCGCGGTGTGAGACATTGTTGGTGCTCATCATGACAGTGCTGTCGCTGTCGTTTAGACTGTAAATCGACGTCTGCTGTTTCCTGGCCGTGCTTTTGCTGTGCCAAATCGATGCTGATATCCACATAATTGTTCCATCGCACGTTGAAGTGTCGCAGATGTCGAACATTGGTTTCGCCTATATGCTGGAGCCATTCACGCAAGCCGTTGGAGTTGAATGTGTGAATATCGAGGAAGATCTTCAGATTGCTGAAGTATATCTGACTAGCTTCTTCTCGAATCTGTTGGCAAGTGTAGAGGAGTGGAGCGATGCATTGCCCTGGATCGTGTTGCTGTCGAAGTGGTGAGGTTTCGGTCCGAGGATTGATGTAAATCCACTCGTTCTGGAACAGGTATGAGTAGACGTGGAGTCTGACCTCTACCGGGAGGGACAAGAAATTTGCGTCATCTGCCATGATGGTAACGGTCAACGGTCGACGGATGTGCTGAATGAGAATGGCAGTTGGCGCGAGGAGGAAAGGCTGCTCAGCTGAGGTTTGCTGTCAGTAGCGTCTTACTTTGTATACAGTTCAATAGGGGTCGAGGAGCGCTTGGACGACAAGGTCGTAGAGAGCGATGCATAAAGTTCACTCCAAGCGCGCTCGTAAGGGCTGCAAGACAAATGTGTTGTTGGCACAGTGCGATTGAAAGTGAAACCATCACTCCAGCGATGGCCATGACAGGAAAGATCTCCGCTCTCGTCACGCTGTTTCTTTGGCGCTCGCAACGTCTCCATGACCGTTGATGATTATCAACTAAGGCAGGAGAGAATCTGTCGTGAGCATAGGCTGGAGAGATAAAGCGCTCGGCGTCCCGAAAATGAGGTGAGTTTGATAGAGATGTGGTTTTGCACGAGCTTGCTTGCGACTCGGATGGGGCCGAAGGAGCTACTTTCTGGTAGTTTTTGACGCTACGCAAACCCAGCATCACCGGGATGGCGATCCAATGCAGCGACAGACTTGCACTGTGCGATAGCAATGTCAGAAGAGCAAGCTGACACCTGTCTATAGTCGTACGCGCTCGAATCTCGCCTCCTGCAAGAATCGACGCCTGTACTCTGCTTCTCCTCCACGTGATGGAATGGTCCCTATCGCATGAATCGATGATTGACCATTAGAAAAGAAAGTGTCCATGCTGGTGAGGTGTTCAACCACTGCCTTGCCGGCATCCGATCCACGTTTGATCGACAGGTTGGCTGCCGGTACTCAGCGGCTCAGCCGCACAAAGCACTGCACTGCGCACTCCCAGCCCAACTGTTGTTGCAGACTCGCAGTGTTTTGTCCCTTTGAGCGCGATACCGATGGGGTTTCCGGAAGTACAATGAAGTCTCATTTTGGAAGGCGGCTGGTGAGCTCCGGGCGGATAAGCTTCGCACGTAATAGGCTGTGCCAAGACTGCTTCGACCGGATGTGAGCTCATGCATCCCCATATCCAGCTGGGTCATGGCTGCTGCATAAGGGCCACTGCCGGCACTGTGTCCCAAAACTTAGCGATTACTTTACTCCTGAGCAAGGCACCACACATTCATGATGGCCGTATGGTTAGTGGCTGGCCAAAGTGTTCGGTACGATGAGCTGAGCGCGACTGCAAGCTGGGGTTTGGTCACAAAGATCGTCCAGGAGCGACCACTTCCGCATGTCATGTCTGCACGATTCTGCTTCATGTATTGTACGTGTTGATTTGCAACGTCCAGCTCACGACCTGCCAACCTCTCTCCTCAGTCTTGCAGCAGCTGTGTCGCCCTTTGGCTCCGGCCATGAATCAACTGCTTCCTCAACTTCATCTAAGAACGAGTTGCTGTTGTGGACGCCTGTGCCACCGAGCACGACTCTGACGCCTGGACTGCTGGCGTTAACCTGGGCTACCATCTTAGCTTCCTCGTAAGTCGTGCCTCCAACTATGAAGATGATGATGTCTTGTGGCTTGTCTCTTGTCTGGCCACCGCCTTCCACAAATGGATAGCTGTTCATGTTGAGACGGCCCTTGATGAGGTCCTGTAGCGTGTTCTCCAATCTGGGCGAGTGCTGAGTGTAGACGTTCTCGACGCCACGCAAGCCCCGGTTGAAGCGTGATCGAGCTTCTGAGAAAATGTTGCTTGGCTGGAAGAGGTCTGGAATTCCGCCTGTCTGCGGGATTGACTGCAAACTATGTGCATAGGCGAGGAGTTTGGGTATAAGGTTGATGCGTGTGCGTGAGATGTTTCCAGCGACAGCTAGCAGATCCATCAATGCCGGCGTGTTGTTGTTGGGGTGACCAGAATATCGGAGCGCATAGATCGCCACTAGTCGCAACTTGTTGTTAGGTGGTATTCGAGGGTCTTGGATGAGCTTCTGCAAGGTCTTGACATCGGTCGAATGATTGTCATTGCAAGCCAGACTCTGCTCTAGCTCGGACACATCGAGGAGACTGTCTGTGCCTACACGTCTACTGAGTTCGCCGACCAGTGTGACGTGCTTGGTGACGTTTCCTGACAGGCGCCGAAATTCAGGATATTCCTCAACGAAGCGTTTCATGTCTTCAATACTGTCCAGCTTCTGCCCTGAAGCTTGTTTGGATGCGAACTGTTCGACGTAATCTTTCGCGTTCTGGCCTAGATCACCAAAATTGAGGTACATGTTCTTGGCGAAGAACGGGTCCTGGTCCTGCGATAGAACGATTTCCTATTCCAAGTCAGCTGCGTCAGGTCTCAAAAAAAATCGCGAGTGCTTGCCTTGAACTCTGGTCTGACATCTGGCACCTCGCTCAGGTTGACTCTGCCATTCTCAATGCCCAGAAGCTCGTGCACCATTGCTTGATAAGTCCACTGCGTCAGCAAGGGCGTGACAGGGTCTTCTCTCCTATCGATGAGAAGAAGTATGGGCGGAGTATCCGGCTTCCGGAAGTCAAAGAGCTGCTCTTCCTGCGTAATGGCATAGCGCACTTCGGTTGCCAGCTTCTTGCACAGCAAACTGTTCTTCTCGAATCGAATCAATGGCTTCTTTTTCAATGCTAGCAGCATGGCCAGAACTCCTTCTGTCGTCCTTGATAAGCTGTCCTGATTCCATAGCTCTGGTGAGGATGAGAAGACTCGTGTCGACAATGGCAGAGAGCACAGGTCGGGGTTGATGACGAGGAAATCGGCAAAGTATTCGACGATCGACTTGACGACTTCATGATCATCGGCTTCGGCGAGGCGCTCAAGCGAGGACTTCTTGATTATGTTGCTGAAATCTGTGTCAGTCAGAAGTCGTCCTGTAGAAGTCTTGGGATTGTGAACACGTACATATGTGGTATTCGCCATACTTTGGCTCTCTGAACTCGTCAATGAGAAACTGTATACTGTCCGGCGATGGTCGAAGAAAGCAGAGGCATCTCAAATGCCGCATCTTCTCGCGATTCGTGTCGTCTAGGCGCTGCGTGAGGTAGACCGAGTGGTTCAATAAGGCGGACTGGGAGGTTGCGGATGATACGATGGGGACCTGGGTAGAATGAGCATGGCCGCAGTAGACGTAGTCTGGTTCATGTCGCATACAGTATCTCTGTCCAGCAGCAGGATCTTCATCTTCGCGGCGCCTTGAGAGCTGACATCGCCTTGAGCCACGATCTTGGTGATGTAGCTCTGCGTGGCCTGGAAGATGTCCATGATCGCGTGCAGCTGCTCTCAACTCCAACTCCCCACTGCAGCCTCGCCAGTCGCTTATTAATTTGTCGCCAGAATCTGCTGCATCAAGTGATCTTCGCAGTGTACAGCCGCCGGGTTAGTGGTGTTTTGGCTATCACATGCTGAGGTTGCGTGGTCGGCTAAAGCTGGAATGTTGCTCCCGATTGCGCTCGGACGGTCATGCAGTCAGCCATCGAGTCCTGCTGATGAGAGCAGTTAATAGCGCTTGGCGCTCACAAGCTCACAACAACCCAACACCATATATCATTTAGAGCACGCAAAGTCCACGCTCGTTGACGAACCGACAAGCACACGGAAACGACCAAATCGATCGCGCCAGAGTGTTCCAAGACAGTCTCTCCACGGTCCACCTCACAAGGCCGAGACCGCAAAGTGACCGCATCCGGTCCATTGAATGACTACAGTCCGGACTTCACTCGAAGAACCTTGCTGCTACTTTCTCACTTGCCCTTGCCCTTGCCCTGGCCCTTGCTTTTAAACCATTCTTCTCTTGCTTAACCAACTTCTTCCTCGTCACCACCGCTTCGCACATCACCACTTTCGTGTCGCAATACCCCCACTGCCTCCACTCTCCGACAGCCTGGCCACAACCACACACTCTGATCGCTACGGCGAATCGCTAACATGGCGGACCGCGTGCTCATGAACGAGTACAAGGAACTCAGCAAGCAGACATGGACCAACATCGAGCTTGTCAACGAGAACATCTACCAGTGGTCCGTGGCACTCATCGTCCTCAACCCGGACTCCCTCTACTACGGCGGCTACTACAAGGCCAAGATGAACTTCCCCAAGAACTACCCCTACGAACCTCCGACATTCCAATTCGACCGTCCGCTCTGGCATCCGAACATCTACACCGACGGCAAGCTGTGCATCTCCATCCTCCACCAGCCAGGAGAGGATCTGATGAGCGGAGAGATGGCGGGCGAGCGGTGGAGTCCAGTACAGAGAGTCGAGAGCGTACTCATCTCCATTCTCAGCCTGCTCGATGACGCTGAGTGCTCGAGTCCGGCAAACGTAGACGCAGGTGTGCAGCTTCGGAAGGATGCAGCAGGTTACAAGAAGCGTGTAGAAGAAGACCGCGAGAAGAGTAAGCAGGACATTCCGGCCGGCTTCGAGATGCCAACACACGAGAGTGCATTCAAGAAGGAGGAGAAAGTCGACACTTTCAGCTGGAGCGACAGCGAAGCCGAGGATGACTTCGACAGCGGTGATGATGACGAGGAAATGTTCGATGAGGATGAGGGCACGGATGAGGAGGATGATGAAGAGTGATTGCTGTGAGGATGGACGGTGAAGAAGACTCGCTGTGAATGCGAGGATGGGAATGGCTTTTCAACATTGATACGACTTACTACGACACGACTGCTGTTGGCCCTCCAGCTTTTGGCCTGACTTCAGCGAGGAGTTACGGCTTGCTTTTATGGGCTGGGGCATTTTTGGCATTTAGCTTGCATGATAGAGGCAGGCGGTTCGCTGCTTTAGGGACGCACGGCGCACACATATGGCTTGCGGGATGTGAATAGAGGATGATATACCAGGCAATTCACCACCAACCTGTGCGAAATGCGCGTGGGAACTGTTCGTCTCCAGTCTCACTTCTAAACACCAGAATGCGCTTGTAGCGGGCTGCAGTTTGACGCAAGCTGTGTGCGCAAACGGTACCTGCATGGTGAACACGTCCTCTGCTTTCACATGCTTTCTTTGGTGGTCGCGTGCCTGCCCGATGTGAAGCGGTGAGGTTTCAAGCTATGCAGTCATATCAAACCGCATTTTGCCCTGGCCCCATTTCATGGCCTCTCATCGCCGTACAAAGACCTCACCGTCGCCGACCACTCCGGCGCGCGCAAGTGACGTAATTCCGCACGTTTTGAGCCGCAGAGCTATACCCATGTGAAAGCGACAGGCCGCGGCAGAGAGATGGCGTTTGGCAATAATCCGAAAGGAATCATCAAACAATATGGCAAGCGACAGCACAAACGGAAGGCGCAGAGTGACATAATCTGGCAGCGAGAGTTCTCTCCAATGTCAGGCTCCAGCTTTGTACCTTCTCATCACCAGCCTGAGCCTCTACTTCCCAAACGACCTCTGCCGAAGAGCCAGCGAGAGGCCACAAGCATGCTTGTCGAGCCCACGCCTGATCAGGTCGAGCAAGTCGTCAATTTTACGGGCGCCGATGAGAATACTGCGAGAAGGTATCTCAGGGTATGTACAACCATTCGCGGTCGGCGCATCGCATTGCTGGCTGCCACATCTGACGCCATGTGCTCTAGGTCAAGCAATGCAATCTCGATCAGGCTGTCAATGCCGTAATTGATGGCGAGGATATCAATAGCTTGGAGCAGAGCATCACCTGGGACGAAGCACCATTCAACGCCGACCGAGATGGCAATGCGAATCACCTCCGTCCACTTGGCGCCAGCACTGCGCCGCCCACTCGCCGCCCGTCACCAGCACCAAGTCTAGGCCTCTCGAATCCCAAGAACAAGTCTGACGAAGATGATGAGCTGCAGAGGGCTCTGGCGTTGTCTCGAGAAGATCTTGATATGCCAAAGTCCTACGACTTCCAGCAGCAAGAGACGGGCACAGTATCAGCGAATGGAACCGAGCAGAAGTTTGGCCCAGCGACTAAGACAGAGTATGACATGAGTCAATGGGCAATGGTCACTACGAGTGCTGCTACAGAAGTTGTGCCAGATGTGTCAGTCCATCAGCGGAAGCAGGGCAATCACGAGCCAGCATGGTATCCCCGACTGCTCAAGCACTTGCCAGATGGAGACTACACGCCCAACTTTATCACTATCGGACATGCTATCCCTAAGGTCAGAGAAGCATTCCTACTGCGAGAGCACTTGGCGGCAAACTATGGCTTCGACCAGAACTGGTGGACGGGCACACCAATCAACGCAGAAGGAGGTAGGATTGTTCATCTGGAAGACAATAGTGCTGTGGATCCGGATGTCGACAAGTATAACGAGTTCATTGAAGAGGTACAGCGGCTTACGGCATTCCTTGATGCCAGCGCAAGAGTATACGCGAGTACGAATGCTCTTACCCAGACGGCATTGATCAAGAATAGCGACATGAGGACAGGCCTGCCATCGGGAAGCCTGCTTGAGCTTTTCCTACAAAGCTGGGTTGCCGCGGCCAAGAGCAAGTATCCTGAAGACAGACACGCCGATATTGCTGGACTCTTTACGACGGTCGTTGGTACAGACAATAAAGCTGGCATGCGTACGCCTGAGCTCACTCTCGTTGATCTGGAGACCAACACCAAGGACGACGAGGGTCAGAATATACACGAGCTGTTAGATCAACTACTGTGGGACACGGATCCCAATGACACCGAGATGACGAACAACTACATCGAGCGTCCAGCAGATGTGATTGTCCTCCGTGTGCAGCAGAAGAACAGCTCCAATTCGAAGTCTGGCGTGCGCGATGTGCCGGCCACCCTACAGCTCGACAAATACCTCAAGGGAAATGTACCGGCGACACAAGAGTTACGACAGCAAATGATGCTTGGCAAGAAACGCGTGGCCAAGATCGAGGAGATCGAGAAGAGGCTCACCACATGGCAGCACCCAACCAAGAGTACACAGATCAACACAAAGGCAATGCTCACACACACGCTCGGCCACTTTTCCGGACAGAATCGAAAGGATGCAGACAAGGCAGACAGGACCAACAACGCATCTCTTGAAGCCCACGAGCCCGAGCACTATCCAGAAATCACGGCCAAGCTGGAAGAAGTCATTGCGAGTATTGATGAGAAGTTAGCGAAGCTTGCTGCCGAGAAGGACAGGGTGCGCAAGGCCATTGCTGGGATGTCTTTAAAGCCGCCGCCTGATCTGGAAGGTACGGAGGTGCAGTACAACTATACTCTTCGTGGAGTAGCAACCAAGCCAAACATCACCTATGTTCTGCGCCACAAGACGAACGAAGAGGTTCAACACGAGCAAACGAATGGCGAGCAGACCATGCTGGATGCAGATAGCACCACTCCACCTGGTATGCAATGGTGGCGGCTTGACTACACAGTCACCGGACAAAGCGCCAAGATCGTTCGCAGCAAGATGGATGATGATACGGTGCTGCATGCTGCAGAGGCAGAGCACAATTCTGTGCTTCTGGTGTATGCCAACGACAATGCTGATGACATCGATGTGATCGAAGAGCTACCAGAACCCCTCCAAACCTTCATCGCGCATGATAACACCGCGCTCGAGAAGTAAGTGTTGCCATCCAAATCATATCAACGTACACTCCCACTGACAAATACATCGCAGAGACTTTAAGAAGGGCGCCCAATCCGATCCTCCACCGGCATACGACATGGTAAACTGGGACGACATCCAAACCGCCCGCGCCTCTATCGAACGCGACGACGATCAAGACAGCACTCGCGTCAACACCGACAATCACGACGTCTCTCATCTCGAAGACTTGCCAGATTACGGCAGCAGTCCGCGCTCTACCATCCCTATCGGCTACGACAAGAGTCTTGATCCCGCGCCCGTGGATATTGTGCTTGATTCCAACGAGGATTTACTTGGAGTTGTGAAGGATGTGGAGATGGTGGAGAAGCCGTATCCGTATCCTTCGCTTGCGTCCATGCATGATGGTAGTGATGCTGATATGATGGGTGATGAGAGTCAGGATGTGGGGGTTGGGGGGAGTGTTATGGGTGTCGGGAAGGAGGAGATGGAGAGGAAGGGTGGTTGATCATGAAGCGGCGACGAGGTCTATCTTTTGCTGTGTACGGCATTGCGTTTGCATAGCGCTGGAGTTTCGCATTCGTTGCTCGTGGAAGCTGAGGATTCATCGGCTACAAGTTCTTTGCTCTAGAACTAGCGAGAGAAATGCTATTCAGCAATTACAATACCGTCTCTTTCTCACGATATTCATGTATCAATCAATTGGGAATTCTTGTCGCCGTCTCTTCTCACCTGCTTTATCTCATTCATAGCATTCAGTCGAACGCTGCTCGTAGTCGTCCAAGTATCTTGAGATCTTTCATAACTGCCTATAGGAACCTCCTTACGTACCGAAACTTTCTCAACTCATCCCTCGAGTCACGTCCTCGTTATAAACGGATATAAGATAGAGAGCCCCGGCAACTATCTAATACAGTACTCGATATCGCTAGGGTGTTTTAATTTATTAGTATTATCTTCTCGTACGAATAGGATTTCTTTGTAAGTTTCTTTTTTTTTCGAGCTAGAAGATAAGATCGGACTAATTTATTTAATCTCGTCTTCTATTCGTAAGATCTAGTTTCCTTTTCTCGTAATAGCGCTAAGACTAAGAGAGAGTATAGAATCGGATATAACTTGTTTATTCCGTTAGATTAGGTAGACTACCTTCTATATCGCTTTTATTATAAGTTAGCGGCCTAGTTAGTATAAGGAGGGTTATATCCGTAGGTAAATAGGATAGTAGTAGGTATAAGTAGTATTCGATAAGGATCTAGGAGGAGAGGGAGGAAGGTAGGAGAGTTAGCCTAACGCTAAGCGCTAAGCCCTGCCTAAGGTATTAAGACCCTAGCTTTACTCGGCCTAGTTATATACTAATTATATATAGCCTCTTTAGCCCTAATATACGCTTCCCTTCTAAAGGCCGCGCCCTTATAGCCTATCTATATTCTAATCTCGACCTCTATTGCTACTAACTTAGCAAATCTAATAAGCTGCTTAGCCGCGCTAAATTAAACACTTAACTACCTAATTATATAACTATATTAAACCTTACCTTCTAGTATAATGTCTAACTCTAACTACGCTATCCTTATATATAATAAAGTAATATATAACTAAAAGAATTAAGGACTATCGACTAATTATAATATAAGCGCGTTTTTCCTACTATAATAGATAGGCGTACGAGGTATTATAGCACTGCCTCTATTCTAAGTAATGTCGTTCCGAGTTCTTTACGTCTACTCTAAAAGACCTAGAAATGTCTACTCCGAGGGATTGTTCTTATTATTATAAGAGCTATTATTTACTATCGTAGTTTCGCTAGCCCTAATTAGTTAGGTTTAGTAGCCTTTAATTGTTAATCTTATCTTATCTTTTCAAAAAACACAGTTCGTCTAGTTTCTATAAATAAAGGCTATTATAAGTATAATAGTTAAGGTCTGCCTCGCTTAAAGGGTCGGAAAGATCGAGGAGTAACCTATTATCCGCAAGATCGACCCCGGCTAGCTTAGCTCTATAGTTTTGCCCTTAGTTAGCCTATTAGTCGCTTAATGTTTTAAGTAGCTTAAAGTTTTAATTAACCCTTAGCAGGTTTAATCTTTTGACTTAGTTAGTATAGTGCTTTAGGCTCGTAGTATAGGTAAGGTTACCCTCGTAGGTATAGCGATAATAGTAGGTAATATTAATAATAGCGGCGCTAGCCGTCTTAGCGCCGACTTTACCTTGCTTCTAATTTCCTTCTTTAACTAATAATAACTCGGCAATACCGTTACTAATATAGCCGTGTCTTTCCTTCTTTAAGTAGTAACACACTCCGTAATACCGTTACTAATATAGCCGCGCCGGCCGCCGGTATACTACTAGCTCGTAGCGCGACACTATTACCTTTATTACCGTTATTCGTACGCGCGCGCTATCCCCGCCGACCGCCTAGGCCTCGAGGCCTTAATAGAATAAAGGAATAAGAGAGGGCGCTAAGAGAAAGGTCTTATAGGGTACGCTAGTAAAGGGGTAGTTTCCTAAAAGAGTAGCGAATAGTTAACGCGTTATAGCGCGCTTGTTAACACTCGGTACGCGTTTACTATAGTAGTATAGTCTTATTGTCCTAGTCTGCCGGCCTCTAATTAGTTAGCTAATAGTACCCTAGGGGTAACATTGTTCCTAGGCCCTTTTAGTAACATTATAGGCCCTTAGTCTTCTTCTTGTTCTTTATACTAGTCTAATACTTATCTAACAACTTAGCTATATCTTTAAAGGAACCTTTAGCTTCCTACGAGTCCTATTTAGGCGAATAGCCTTGCTATCTTAATAGGTATTCCTTCTTGCCTTGCCTAATCCGGTACTTTAGAATGCGTTCTATAGACTATAGCTCTTTACTATCGGCTAAGACTTCTTCTAACTTAGTAGGCGCTTTATCGCCTTCGCGCTAGTAGTATAGTTTAAGGAGGGATACGTAGAAGGTGTTATAGATAGTATAATAAGGGGGAAGCTACAACTAGTAGGCCTATATGCCCTTCGGTTCTCGGATACGGAATAGGCTAATGTATCTTAGTGCGAGCTTAGGCCTTGTTTTGCTATTAGGGGATAGGTGTTTGCGGATACGGAGGTTCTTCGTACTAAGTATAACTATATCGCCTTGCTTAAAGGTTATTAGCGTATAGTGTCTATTATAATAGGCTTTCTAATAGGCCTAGGCCTTTGCTAGTTTGTTAGCTATCTTAGCGTAAATTTCTCGTATCTTTTGAACCCTCTTAATAGCCGCTAGTATCTTAGGTTAACCCGCTTCCCTTTCCTTACGCTCGGCCTCGAGCGATAGGGGGTCTTATAGTATAGTAGCGTTCTAGCCTATTATAGCTATATAGGGTAAGACCTTAGTTAATAAGTATATACTATTATTATATACGAATTCTATAGGCTATAGGAGGTTAACCTAGTCGTTAGGGTTCTTATTAATATAGCTATATAGGTACTGCTATAGAGTAGTATTCTGCCTCTTAGTCTAACTACGTTACGAAAACTTTTTTTCCGATCGCGACGATCCTATCGATAGGATCGCTTAGGATCCTTAGGATCCTTAGGATCCTCGGGATCGTACGTTAAAGATCTTGTCGGATAGGAGGCCCTATTTAAAGTCCTATATTAGCGTCCGAGCGCCTAACCTACCGTAGACTAGGGCCGTAGACCGTAAAAAGCGGCGGTCGGCGAAGATTGTATACGCTTCCGCTCCGGCGCGTCTACGCGTACCGCTTTGTTTAGGCTATTATTTTCTACCTCGCTATCGCCCTTCTAGCAAGCATTCCGCTATCGTTTCTATCTCTTCTAATAGCGCGTTATTACTTAATTATGCCTTTAATCTCTTCTAATACTATATTAATTACTAATTACCTTAGAGGTACTAGGGATAGCGATATGCTCGCGTCGTAGGCTTAGGGTAACTTCGCGCTCGGTATAGATTACGACGATAGCGCGGTTAGAATCGCTAACTTGTCGATAGAGGAGGAAGAAGGGGACGATTCGGTCGATTCTAGTAATAAAAACGCGTTAGATTCCTTAAACTACCGCCGCCCTCGCAAGTCTCGAGTTCTAGTAAAGCTCGAGTCGTACTACGCGTCCTTACTATATATCGATAACCTGCGCTAATAGCGCGAACGAGCTATTCTTTACGGCTTCGACGACTCGTTTAAAGTGCCGGCAAAACAATAGTATACGCTATTACTATATATTGATAATATATAGGTAAAGAATATAAACTACGTCGAGAAGAGTAGGTTAGAAACAACGCGTTATATATACCGCTTTCGTAAGCAACCGTACTAGAAGTCGGATAAGACTAAAGGGCGTAGTTTGCGGCCGTTTAATAAGAAGATTAAGCGCGCGTAGGGTTGTCCTATTTCTATAAAGATCTGTACTATATATAGCGAAGATAAGACTACTAGCGAGCAAGAGATTATCGCGTATCGAGTTTAGCGTATAAGTCGCGAGGATTACTCGGACTACTACTAGCTAGATAACTTCGACCTCTTCCGCCGGTATAGCGCGTTATTAACTACCGTAGGGCACGAGGTATGCTATAGATATAAGCCGAGTGCGGTATAGAAGACGTTAAAGGCTTAGTACGACCTAGTAGCGAATGCGCTATTTAAGGCCGCCGGCGGCAATTTTATAATGAAATACGACGTATTAAATTCTAGTCGCGCCTTCCGGAAGGTATATAAGGATAGAAGGCTCGGCGGCGCGTCGCTAGCATAGCAAATACAGAAAGAAGATATATACGAGTAGTATTAACAAGGTTAGTTAATCTTATTATTATTGTTAAGTTAGACGTAGAGTTAGAAGAAGAGCTATGCGGGCCGTCGCGGCCGCGTATCCGGACTCCGATTAACTAATAGATCGACTTAGAATCTAGCCTAACTTATCCCCTCGACTAAGGAAGATATTAGACTAAATAGAAGACCAAAAAAGCTAGAATAGCAAAGAATCTCTATACTTTAAAGTTCTTCGCTTAAAACGGAAGCGCCGTAGAGCCTTAGCTTCGAGCTAATTAAGAATTTTAGAAGCTACGGTAACATCTCGGTCCGGCTTCTAGCGCGCCTTAGTAAGCCCGAACCCTAAATCTTAGATTCCGCTAGATTCTTGTTTGTTTTAATTCTAGTTTTTTATTACAACAACTGCTAATATATTATTATAAAAGGGCTATTTTCCGAAAACATAGAAGCCGTACGCTAAATTAACAAAGAGACTACCTACGGCGTCGTGTATACGAGCAAAACTAGTATAGAACTACTTAAAGCCTATTGTACGATCGCGTTTATAGACGCGACGTATAAGACTAATTACCTAGGTTAGTTCCTTTATACTATTATAGTAAAGGATAAATATAGCATTTCTCGTACGGCGGCATATATGCTTTCACCTACTAACGACGGCGATATTGTAGCGGAGTTTTTACGCACTATAAGCAGGTAGATAGGCGGTGTTTAGATACCTAAATTCCTCCTTATAGACGACTCGGCCGCCGAGCGACGCGTAGTCCGAATAGCGTTTCTAACGACAATACACCTACTATGCTATGTTTACGTTTAGCGTACTATCGATAGACGCTTTAGCGCGAAGATCTACTAAGAGATACGTAAACACCTTCGCGCCGCCGTTGTCTATCGCCGCTCGCTCGAAGGCGCGAA